ACAAGTTAATAAGAAAACTGAGAAAGTAATCCTTAATTATTAGATGTCGTAAAATTTATTTTTAAAATACATTGACAATGTCAGTCTAATTCTACTTTTAAAATACATTTTTATTGCTACTTGTAATTTGAGTTTCTAAAGTTTTGATCTTTGATAAGGATTAGATATTTTAATAAAAATACAATCTCTTCTATAGTATGATTATCTAAATTTAATTACTTTTGAATGTTTATATAAATTAAATATTTATTCTAATGTATATATGAAGTAATTATTAAAATATTAAATTAATATTCTAATTTCACAAAAAAATAATCATAAAATAAAAAATATTATTACATTATAATATGAATGATTATTCTAATATACTCCCTCCGTCCCGCTATATTCGTCCACTTTTGACTTTTGGAACTGTTCATCTAAGCACTTGGACTCATCAAATTCTCTCAATGTGTAAGCTTAAATATAGTCATGTGTGATCTTGTTTGATTTATCTTAACATATAGATTATTAATATATAATTTCTATAATTTTTTAATATATAAATTACAAGATAAAATGGAATAAAGAAGTGTATTGGATGGTGTGTAAAAATGAAAGTGGACAAATACTCTGGGATGGAGGTAGTATGAATTAAGTACTTTTATTTTACTACCTCCATCCCAGAGTTTTGCCCACTTTCATTTTTACACACCATCCAATACACTTCTTTAATCCATTTTATCTTATAATTTGTATATTAAAAAATTATAGAAATTATATATTAATAATCTATATGTTAAGACTAATCAAACAAGATCACATATGACTATATTTAGGCTTACACATTGAGAGAATTTGATAAGTCAAAGTGTTTAGATGAACAGTTCCAAAAGTCAAAACTGAACGAATACTCCGGAACGGAGGGAGTATTAAAAAAATCATAAAATAAAAAATATTGATTATATTATAATATGAATTATCATTACAATTTTCAAACATTATTATAAAGTCAAATCAAACTATTGATTTGAATTTTAAATCAAATCATAATTAATCAGATCAGATCCAATCAGATTAGACCAGATCAGATCAGATCAGATCCAATCAGATTAGACCTGATCAGATCCAATCAGATCAGATCAGATCAGACCAGATCATATCGTTCGTCGTTGTCAACCGTTCGTTCATCCCGTTTCATCATTCCGTCAATCCCTTCATCTAGAGGTGAGTAGTTGTCCCCTCTAATTCTAGAACATCTAGTTATAATCTATGTCGTTATATTCATAGGAATATCGTACGCAACCTACGTAGAATCTATGCATGTTCGTAGGTTAGCCATCAAAACGTTCACTACGTAAAAATCGTATATATTGGCCTAGGAATCCCTAGGAATATATTCATCAATGTTTACATTATTGTTCTAAAAAGAATCAAGGTGTTAAGTTTGCAAAATGGATCAAAACGGAGCCAAAGACAGAATACTGTCTTCAGGACGGTCGACCGCCGCTACGGACGGTGGACCGTTCCCTCGGCCATCCCGACGGTCACCACCGTGACGGTCGACCGCCGGCTGCGACGGAAGACCACGGTGGACCGTCCGTGACCCAGACCCAGGCCGTAGCCTCACGGTCGACCGCCGGTAGGGCACGGTCGACCGTTTCCCGGGCAGTTTTTCCGGACAGTTTGTAGAACGAGTTCCGTTGACCATATTGACTCAGAATCTGATTGTATGCTTGCATGAAATATTAATCATCATAATATATGTTATTTAATTGATATATTCTTGGCGTTGACCAAAGGTAAGTATATCAAGCATTCATCATGTTCATTCTAGACGCATGTCCTAGGTTTATCATCATGTGCATACCGCTGTATGGAGGTCAGTCTTTCGTGCGCCTACTATAGTGGGCCTGTCCAGGAACCTTTGGGATCCAACGAGTTTTCATCAGGTGAGCTTTGTGTACGTACATGATAGTCAGGCTACGGCTACCACCCGGTTTTTGCTAGTCCACTTGCGATATTTCGTCGAGCCCGGCTCATTACCGTTGTGGTATGATAACCGGAGTGCAGGGGTGATCCTGTCAAGTGAGGCTAAGCCAGGAGTGTCCCTGATAGTTTAAGTCATGCATCAAGTCATATCGTCATCTTGTGTGTTCCATGTCATGTCAACATTCATTGTGGTCGTCATCATCATGTATGTTCCACGTCACATCAACATTCAATGTGGTTGTTACTCATTTTGTTATGTGTAATAATACCCCATCAAGTGCTAAATAATCAGTTAGTAAACATGTGGTTTTCCGTACGTTAAAGTACAGGTATTAATATGTGTATAATCATATGGGTTATCACTTCATGTTCTTTTGTTAGATTCACTCCTCAGCTTTTGCTGAGCGTGTAGTTGTTTTTGCTACACGCAAGTAGACATGACGGTACATGTGCTAACCTTGGAGGACAGTAATGATGGGAAGATGGGCGGCGCACGGACAAGTTTAATAATTATAATCATTCGAATTAATTAACCATTTGGGCATGAACCCAACATATGTCGTTTTACTTATTTTGGACTTATTTATTCACTTCCGCTTTACTCTGCATTTATATCACACATGTTTTGGGATTAACTCCCTAGCATTTATTTCACCAGTTAAACCCAACCGTTTTCCATAATAAATAAACATTAATGTTTCCTTCTGCTACGGACGGTTCTCGGACCGCCCATGTAACCCTACCGATCCGTTGGGTCACGGGTGAACCGGGTCCACGGAAGGCGGGTGTTACTGGTGTTGAAGACCTCAGTCGGTCTCTGGACTTTGAAGGATGTCAGAGTGGTTCCAACCTTGAAGAAAAGTTTGATTTCTGTCAGGCAGTTGGACGAACATGGACACGAGGTGAAGTTTAGAGATGAGCAGTGGAAGGTCTTGAAGGGAAATCTTGTCATGGCCTACGGAAGGAAGAGTGGTTCACTGTACATGGTCAGGTTACCGTCTAAGGGAGTGACCGTCCCAGTTCAGAAGAGAAACAAAGTCCGGTTCACAGAGTCTCGTGGGCAGAAGAAGGTTGTCTTTGCAAGAGAGAAACCTAGAGCCACTGGTCAGACTCAGGATGAACGAGTGTGGAAAGGTTCAAGGGGGCCAGTCAGAGGTATTTGTGGCAGTGGGAGCTCAAGAGGCACTTTAGCCAAGTTGCCTAGAAGACAGTGGGTACGGAGAACCAGTATTCCAGCTGTTGGAACTATCTCAAGAAAATTTCTTGCTGAGTACGGATAGTGTTTGTTCTCATGATGTTCTAGGATCCGGCAGTGTGCATCTGCAGTGGGAGCCAGTAGGGACTGAGGACGAGTTAGGGGCAGATTTAGTCGTGGCTGATGTGTTGGAGCTTGGGAGAGCTTCAACGGGCCTTTCAGTTGTCTGATGAGAGGGCCGCTGCAACAGGAGAGCTGAGGAAGATTACTCGATGTACAAGCAATCGCGGCGGATGGCAGTTGATGACTATCAAGCCTCCAAGTGGGAGAATGTTGGGTTTGTGGAGGCTTGGGCTTGACTTGTTGGCTCGGCCCGTTTTATGTTACCCTAGTTGCGCTCTTCCTATATATATTGCATACTTGTACTTGTAATCGGCCCCACAAATGAAATAAGAAATTCCTCCTGTTGCAGTCGTGGATTAGGGAAACCGAACCACGTTAAATTTTTGTGTGTCGTTTGTGTTTCGTTTCTCTCGTTTCTTGCAGATTATTTGTGTGTGTTGTGTGTTTAATTCTCAACACCATCTAGTTCAATTTCTAGATCTGCCACTAGAGGAGGATCCCTCAACCAATGATGCCCCCGCTATGGTGAGTCCTTCTCCTCTAACCAATGATGCCTCCATATAATTCACATTTTTACTACTCCCTCCGTCCTATATTTAACTTCTCGGTTTAACCGAGGTTCATTTTTAAGGGAGTGTAAAAAATGCATTGACTTTCCAAAAATGCCCCTCAACCTTTAAGCTAATGTCAATACCAAATATGTTGTAGCTCTGCAAAGACCTCACTGCCTTATCTCTTCTCTTCCCAATTGCCTTTTTTGTTTAACACCTTCTCAAATTCATGGAAGATAGGTCAACCTTATTCATTGACTCAAATTCAAAGAAATGGTTTTAGCTTTTTGGTTTGGAGCATCGTTCCATCCCCTAATGACAGAAACAATTATAAAAGGGAAGAACGTATCAAAACAACTTCTCGCTGGTCGGGCTCCTCTGGGATCTGTGAAGATCAAGTTGGGATATGGGAAAACGGTGACCGCCATGGTGGGATACATCAAGATCTGTGTCCTCGCCATCGTAGGCCCCTTCACATCGGATCTCAATTTTGGGAATGAAACTATGATTCTCTAAATCCAAACGAAAAGAATGAAATTAAAAAAAATCAAGAACGAAAGGGATGAGAGAGGACCTGGGATGCTAGAGTTCTTGAGATGGTGGTGAAATGGGAGGAACGATCAGATTTAGAATTCTTTAGGTTGAAGGGCAAATGTGTCATTGAAGAAGTGTAAAGTTACCTTTTTTAGGAAGTGAGAAGATAATTTTAGGACAACCCAAAAAGGAAAGTGAGAAATTAATTTTAGGACGGAAGGAGTACATTAATTTTTGTTCACGCCTTCTTTCAAGCCCCATAACACATGTTGTTTTATTCACATCCAGCAGCTTACGAGACACTTACGTGTCACTTCATAAAGCCCGGCATAACACATGGTGTAAGAACTGTTTCCTTAAAAAAATATTATCCCCGTCTCAATGTATTTGTTTAGTTAGACTTTTTTGAGCTAGTGAACAATTTTTGAGCTTTAATTACTCTCAAGTCTCAACATGTATTGAGTATTAGTACAATGAAATAAAATTTTGATGTTTTTTAAGACAATAAATTTGATGAAATCATTTTTAAACAAATATGCATTATCATTTGTTTTAATTGAAGGTCAACATTTCAGGATGGTCTATCCTATATTCCTATCTTTATCATCGCAGATTACACTGCAATCCACCACCAAGGATATACTCCGGATCTTGCCTATTAACCCCCCCTACTCGGAAAAAGTCTTGCTCTCACTCAAGCAGCAAAAATGGCTCACGCTTCGTCTCTATTTCTTCCCGTGAATTTTAACCCAATATCTCGAACAAAGCTCGGTAGGCGCCATCATAGAACAGGCATCTCTGCCATTCCGCCGCTCTCAACCGCCGCCGATGTCACCGCCGTGGCTGGAGCGTTCGACGGCACCACAGTCGCCTTCATCGGCGGAGGCTCCGTGGCCGCTCTGGCAGCCGCTCTCTCTCTTGCGAATCCCGAGAGGCGGCGGCGGATGCAGAGAGAAGAGGTCGGCGGCGGAGACAAGGAGGTAGTAAAGGAGTACTTCAACAAGGACGGGTTCCAGCGGTGGAAGAGGATCTACGGCGTCTCCGAAGACGTGAACCGGGTCCAATTGGACATCCGGTTGGGACATTCCAGAACCGTCGAGAATGTCATGAAGATTTTGACGGATGAGGGCTCTCTGAAGGGAGTAACCGTCTGCGACGCGGGATGTGGGACCGGGTGTATGTCCATTCCATTAGCTAAAGAAGGCGCCATTGTATCTGCAAGTGATATTTCAGCTGCTATGGTTTCTGAAGCCCAGAAAAAGGTACTGCAATTCGTTTTGATATTTCAACTGCTAGCCCAATTTGACCGGAATCCACTCTATATTTTTTGTTGTCTTCTACAAAACACTTTTCTATTTTTTTTTTTCTCTGAGTTTTAGCCCAACAATTAGCATGTCACATAGTACTTGTTTTTACTTAAAGTCTTGCACGGGAACATTAAATTGCGAAAACATTAAGCCAATAAGGTTTTGATACCACGTTAATTAGCCAAATCAACCAAAAGTTCAATCTTGTGGTTGCAACATGAAAGGAGGGCGGTAATAGAGAGCAATAGGGGAATCGGAGATTTCAAAATTCTCCTTTAACTTTATAAAATGTTGTTCTCATTTCAGGCCAAAGAAGAGCTTTTGAAGGCCGGAAGGGAGGATGAACACCCTACAGGGGTGACATTGCCTAAATTTGCAGTGAAGGATTTGGAAAGTTTAGAGGGGAAGTATGACACTGTGGTGTGCCTGGATGTGTTGATACACTACCCACAGAGCAAGGCGGATGCTATGATAGCTCATCTTGCGTCCTTGGCTGAGAACCGCTTGATCCTGAGCTTTGCCCCGAAAACGTTTTATTACGTTCTCTTGAAGAGAGTTGGAGAGTTTTTCCCCGGGCCTTCGAAGGCCACGAGGGCGTATTTGCATGCTGAGGCTGATGTCGAGCGTGCTCTGGCAAAGGTTGGGTGGAAGATAAGGACGAGAGATTTAATAACCACACAGTTTTATTTTGCAAAGCTTGTTGAGGCCGTTCCTGCTTCTCAATCATGATGACTTGTTTGACGAACAGACTGAGATTATATCATGATTTACTCTCTCACTACTCTGTCACGCTGGAGTGGGGTGTGGGGGCGGTTGGACGCCCCTGGTTGGGCGTTCCTTGTTCTTTTAGGCTAATAATCACTTTCTTTTTTCCTTTCCTTTTTTTGCTCTGTCTTTGATCTCATGGTGATTAATTTGGCATCATCAATTGTAGATTTTAGACGCTTTTGTAAATGGTGTATTCATATTCATATGTTTGGGGTCACATTATGGTTCAGCTTTGACAAATCGCAGTAAAACTTGTGTTGAAAATCAAGAGCAGGCTGGTTTTTAATGATGTAACTGATTTATTTAAATTATGATGTAATCATATGTTTGAAAGTCAATTTGGGTGTTAGATTAGGGTGAATAAGGCGTTAGAACAATGAAAATGGGCGTAACATCCACCGTGTCAAACGCAGTTTTAACACCGGAAGGGTGTTAAACACTGCCCCCTTTGTCACAGCAGCATTATCTCCCTTGCGTTAAATCTTTGACTTAGCTTTATTGTTGCCAGGCTCTACAGTTTTTCACAATTTAAAAAAGACCGCCCCCCCCCCTCCCCCAACTATCCAAATTATAGCTGTTGGCCAAAATTGAAAAATATTATTTTTAATACTATAAATACCCCTTATTTTAAACACAAAAACATACAAAACATATTCTCATTCTCTCTGTAATTCCTCCAAAATGTATTCTATTTTTTCTTTTTCCCTAAAAAAAATATACTCGTATTCTATTTTCTTTAATTCTCTCTAGAAAACACTAAAAAAATGGGACCATCTTCATCTCACGATGAAAGAAGAGCTCCCATTTTTCGTTGTTTCGTGATGGACTGCTACCAATGGTAGCAACACGGCCAAAAAGAGGAATCGGAATCGTACCCACGCTCGACCCGACTGAGCATTTAAATCGTGATCGGGTAGCTGCACACGAATCACTGCTCAATGACTACTTCAATACTCTATGTGTTTACACACCCGAAGATTTTAATAACCGTTTTAGGATGAGCTGTTTTTTGTTTTTACGCATACTCGGAGATATTGAACGCGAGGTGCCTTGGTTCACCCAATGCTGGCGTGGTTTTAGCAGCGTCTAGAAGTGCACCACCACGCTTCGTCAGATGGCGTACAAGACGACTGGTGATATGTTTGACAAAAACTTGAAGATGTCCGCTCAACGCATCAGGGCATGTGTTTATAAATTTTCTAAAACTATTATTTGACTTTAGCATAAAAGATATTTACGTAAGCCGATAGCGAGCGACATTGAGCAGTTACAAGCGAGGAATGCCGCTAAACACAACTTTGTCGGCATGCTTAGGAGCATCGATTGCACGTATTGGGAATGGAAAAAATGTCCCACAATGTGGCATGGTCAGTTCTCCCAAGGTGATCATCCCAATCCTACTATTATGTTCGAAGTTGTGGCTTCAAATGACTTGTGGTTTTACATACTTTTTTGGTGTTGTGGGATTGAACAACGACATCAATGTTCTTAATCAATCACTTATTTTTGACGATTGAGTTAATGAGATTGCACCTGACTCATTTTTGAGCTTAGAGGGATGCTTTACAAGCGTGAATATTATCTTGTTGATGGAATTTATCGAGAATATTTTGCAATTGTCAAGTCCCTCTCCAAACCAATGGGTCATAAACACGAGATCTACAAAAAAGCTCATGAGACACAGAGGAAAGATATCGAACGAGCTTTCAGGGTGTTGAAGGGTAAGTGGCACATTCTAGATCCTCCATCCAAGTGTTATTCTCAAACGAAAATGAGAAATATCATGTACGCATGTATTATTCTTCATAATGTGATCATAGAGGACAATGAGTTTGCAATTGGTCATTACAACCCGGACGAGGAGGTGCCATTGTACAAAGAAATCGATGAAGAATTGCAAACTCCAGCGGGAGGAGATGTCCGCGGGTGTGGAATAGTGCTAATCTTATCAAGTTTTATCAATAATTTGTATCCTTCCTATGATCTGCCTTTGAGTTAAATAAAATCACCATTTTGCAACTTCTTAATATCGTCTCCCTTCTCAAAAAAAAGGGAGCGACCAGAGAGGGTCGCCATACGAGACCGTATGGTGATTCGTACTAAGTTACTTTCCATGGAGCGAAGTGCTGAACCCATTGGTGCTTATTGGTCGCCTGAACGACCACTAGTTGGCGCGACCAAATCATACAGTGTTTCGTACTGCTATAGAAAATATACATTTACAAGTAACATAATACTTATTTGAACGCAAAATACTCACAGTCATCATCTTCATTCAAAACTCATCACTTCTTGCCATGGCGATCTGAGATAGGTCTTTTAACTATGTTTGGTTCAAGGAATTTGGAAGGAAAAGAAAAGAAAATTGTTTTCTCTCATTTTCCTCAACCAAAATGGGAGGAAATTAGTTTTTCTTCCACATGCTACATTTTGCCTTCTCTTTTTTTTCCTTCCATTTTTCCTTTCTTTTCCCCTCTAACCAAACAAGAAAAACTATTTTCCACTTAATTTTTCTTTTTTTTCTCCTTTCAAATTCCTTGAACCAAACATAGTGTTAAAATACGCGAGAGAAAATTTAAATCCTCAACAGCCTTTTGGGCATTGTATGGCCAAACAAAGGTCCATTACCCTCTAATAATGCGATTTCTACGTCAAAATTATAAGCTGTTTGATTTTGGGTCAATGTGTACCTACACACAATCTCTAAAGAGCAAAACATGTACACTACATGGCTTGCCATCAACGGCCGTCGATCATGGATATAGTAACATTGTTCGCAGATCCATTATTACTCCTTTGGCTCTGCTTAGAACTGCTTGTGCCAGCATCAGAACGGCCAGACCTTACCCAAAATGCTGGCTGCTTAGGAACGGGAAGCTCTAAGATTTCATTTCTGAGCATCGCGAGCACTGCTGGAATCGATGGCCGGTCTTTCGCAAGCTCTTGGACACATAATAACCCAATGTGTATGCATCTCACTGCTTCTTCTCGGTTTCTTGGAGTTATTATCCGGGGATCAATTATTTCTGAGACATTCTTATTGTCATTCCAAAGTTTCCATACCTGAATGAATGTTAGATAACTCAATTACAAATGCCAATACCTTTCAACTTGGCTGTCATAATATAACTAACATTGGGTCATTTGGGAGGTCCTGTTTGGTGCTCCATTGGGTTTTCTTTTATCTTAGAGAATAAAAGGTAAAAAGAGGAGGATTTGGATTAGACCCACATACTTGCCCCAAAAGGTTAAAAGAGCCTTCACAGTTAAAGCTTGAATTCCTTCTCCCAGTAGCAATCTCCAGCACCATAACTCCAAAGCTGAAGACATCAGACTTCTCTGAAAACTTTCCTTCCATTGCATACTCAGGTGCCATATATCCACTGCAACAAGATCGAGTCAGTTCGGTACACTGTATTCCGATGATGTCGAAAGTGGCAGAAAAGCCATACTAAATCTCCCATAACTGAGAAAATAAAAACATGATAAATTGTACTCACTATGTTCCTACAACTCTTAAGGTACTGACATGATCCTGTTTTGTTCCAAATATCCGGGCCATGCCAAAGTCCGACATCTTTGGATTCCAATCCTTATCGAGTAATATGTTGCTAGGCTTTAGGTCTCTATGGATTATCTTCACCCTCGAATCCCTGTGAAGATAAACAAGTCCTCTACAAATGCCTTCAATGATGTCAAAACGTTTTCTCCAATCCAATATCTCTTGTGATTGATCTGTTAAAAGTACACCACATTGGAAGAGAAACATGAAGACGAAAGCGAAAGTTTTGATAAGATCATTGTTAATGCAAAAAGAGTAACAGTGGTGATTGAGAAAACGTGAACTGACCAAAGAGAAAAAAGTCCAAGCTTTTATTGGGCATATATTCGTATACGAGCATCGTCTCTTTGTTCTCTATACAGCACCCCCTAATTCTAACAAGATTTCTGTGTTGGAGTTTAGAGATAAGCAGCACTTCATTCATAAACTCTTCCATTCCCTGCCCAGATGATCGTGAAAGCCTCTTAACCGCTATTTCTCTTCCATTCGGCAACTTTCCCTACATTCCAAGTAACAAATTTAACAAGTGTTACAAGCTCATATTTAACATGCTACATGACACAAACAATGACGACAACTTAGTACATTGTACACGGGACCAAACCCGCCCTTCCCAAGCTTGTTGGATTCTGAGAAATTGTTGGTGGCAACTGCCAGTTCCTCAAATCTAAACAAAGGCAAATCTTCAAGATTAACTTTACTTGATGCATCCACATTTTCAATTTTGGCTCTTTGTCGACCTAACACACAAAGAAGCAGCACATCTAAATGTAAGCTCCTCATGCTGCCAAATTCAGTAGCTATATTTAGGGGGAGAGGGGAATATTCTCCGAGAAAATTATTTTTTCCAGGTGAAAATGATTTCCAAGGAGAATTATTTTCCCCCACATTTTACATTGCTTGACAACAACAACAACAACCCAGTTAAATCCCACAAGAGTAGGGTCTGGGGAGGGTGTGTGTACGCAGACCTTACCCCTACTCAAAAGTAGAGAGGCTGTTTCCAAAGAGACCCCTGGCTCAACGTCAAAAGTTGCATTGTTTGACTAACTGCTACTTCATTAATTAAAGAAGCGCAGACAGTTTAGAGATCCATTTTGATTTATTCCATCACACCCCAAAGCCAAAAAATGGTGAAATTTTGGCTCCATCAGAGATGATGGAAAAAAATTGCTTGGTAAGAAGAAAATTATTTTTTTTAAAAAACATAACATGTATGATTGGTAAGATTTTAAAATTGATAGTATTTGGAAACATGTTTAGAAGAATATTTTAAACTATTTTAGCAACACAAGGGCAGGCGACATAAGGTGGGGGTGTGTGTTGGCATCGGCTAGAGCGGGGAAGGGGTATGGAGGGATGACTCGGGTTAGCGAGTGGCGAAGAACATTGGGTGGGGGATAAAGGGCATGGGGCTGGGCTGGGCGTGGCCAGGTAGGGTGAGTAATGACAAGGTAGTAGGGTAAGAGGGGGCGCGGGGTAGGGGTGGCCTGACGCAATTAGGATTGATGGGAGGGTGGCAAGGTAGGAGGGGTGGGGAGAGGGGTGGCAGGTGGTAGGTGTTAGAGAAGGGTGAGAGGGGTTGGGGCATGGGGGTTGGTGGGCCGGGGTGGGACACATCACACAAGGGGCGAGGGTGGCGGATAGGGGAGAGAGGCCGAGAGCAGTGTGTGAGTAGGAATTTTCCTTTGAAAGAAAACAACATTATTTGAGGAATGCTAGCCTGCTAGGGGTACATGATTTGTACACCATTGATCGGCAGGGCGGGTTGCAGCCTAGGGCCCATGTTCATAAGGGAGCCATAATAATTTTTCTCTTATAGTAGTAGTAATATATTATTGTAAAAAATAATCAGTTCAGGGTTTTAAGCTTTCTATTTTAAATAAATATATGTAGTACAATAAAAATATGTCACACTCAATCATTTTAATTCTTCAAGTGATATTGCTCTTTTTTACAAATAGTTGTAAAAGAAGCTAAATATTACAATTGGCCTAAGGCCCATAAAATGTCAGGGTCGCCCTGATCTTAATCATTGATTTCTTTTTTCATTTGTAATCGTTTTTGCTTATTTTACATTTGTTGGTGGAAATGGAAATGAGGTACAACATTTGGTGTACCCCTAGCATGTTTGAAATTATTTATGTCCTAATAATAGAAAATCAAACAAAAGAGAAATAAACATAAAAAAAATTGGAGGAAAGTATTTCCCTTCCCAATTCAACCAACCAAATGGACCCTTAGACTCCCAATATTACCTTTTTGTTTTGCAAACCATCTCCAAAAGAAATAACCGCAAATGGAAAATATAAACAAGCCAACTATAGCCGCTATTATTACGATCTTCTTAGATTCTTTCTGGTGAAATTTGCATTAAATAGGACTAAAACATAATGACTTTTCTAATGTAGGATTTAAACTTTTTTATTCCCTAAAAACATATAATCCTATATTGGGCAAGTCATTATGTTTTAGTCTTATTTAGGTAAATTTCTCTTCTTTCTTACCACCTGCAACACGGAAACCGTCATCACACCACTTTAAAAACGCGATAAAACAATTTACTAGAGTATAAAACATTTATTGACCCGGCATTTGTATAATTAAGCTATACTCCATCCTAGAGTATTGGTCTAATTTGACATTTTCAGGTCAAACACAATAAATTTTAATCCTCAATTAGTCTCAATTTATGTTTCATATTAATACTATAAAATAAATTTTTAAAAATTCTAAACAAGTTAAATATATTAAAATCACTTTATACTAAAATATATTATAATTGTTACTTAATTAAGGTCGGTTCAGACTTTGTCCAATTTGATTTAAAAAAACCAAACTGAACAAATACTTTACGACGGAGGTAGTATCTGTAAGTTCGTGGGGGTGCATCGGAAATCACCAATTGAAAGGAGTAAATTTCATAAAAGGTCCTCAGTTATAGGTCGTTTTACATATTTAGTCCCTACATATAAAATATTACTAATTTAGTCCATAATTATTAAATCATTTTTCAAGAATGGTCATTTGTTAACGTTTTTGTTAAGAACATGGATAAAATTGTATATTCATACTTTTCTCTCTCCTCATTAAGCTTCCTCCCTCCTTTCGTACTCTTTCCCTGAGTTTGAAGCTCATTAATATAGGATTTCTAGCCCGTACCCTGTACAGATCCGGACGCTTCGCCTATCACATCTCCACCAAGATCACGAGGACAAACGTGTTGGCAGCCCACTCGTTCAACTCTAGTTCATCTCCTGGATGTCACGATCTATTTGGCTTGAAGATCTCCTCCTTCATGTAGATCGTAACCTTCTTCACGCATGGGAAGCTCCGGGACGCAACAAGAACGCTTTACATCAGTGTATATTCTTTGTTTTCCCTCTCTATCACTCCAAGGAATTCCTAGGGACATGGTGCGTATTTATAGACCAATCGAAACCCAATCTTAGTAGGGATAGGTTAGTAGAAGTTGACTTAAATATAGCTTCCTTAATCTTTATCCACAAATAGCCTAAGGAGTTGGGATTCCTTAACACGTACACCTGGAGTTATTATCATGTAGTCACAATCTCAACAGGTCTATGATTTAGATTCTAGCTTAAAATTTCGTGCTCAAACTTCTGATCCCGAACAGTGTGTTGTAGCATCGTGCTGTAGCATCTTGGGAGAAAGACCAAAGTAGGACTAAAACATTGAAAATATACCAAAATAAGACTTCCATGTTTTTATTCCCGAAATAGGATTTACATTACCAAACATGATCATATCCATTACCAATAAAGTATAGTAATTTGAACATGTACACTGTCACATTACCACAATGCAAAGTCACATTACCACAGTGCAAAGTCCTATTCCGGAAAAAAAACATGAAAGTCCTATTTTGGTACTTTTCTCTATGTTTTAGTCCTATTTAAGATGATTTCTATAGCATCTTCTATGTCAACCTCAAAAACTGCAGCAACTCTAGAAGTCTAAATAAAATAAACTTTCTCCTAACAAATAGAGATTTCTACCTAATAAAACATCTAACAAATATGAGATTCTATTTTGACAAAAGATTAAGGGGATGTTTGGCAACTTCTGAATAGGTAAGTGCTGAACCAGTAAGAGGTCTGAACCATTAAGAGCTAGTATATTGCTTAAATATTTAGAGGCATATGTCTGATCAATTCAGATAAGAGGTCTTAACCATTCAGACTCTGTATAATACTTAACCATTCAGAGACAAATGTCTGAGCCATTCAGACATCTGAACCATTAAGAGGCTGAAACAAACAATTTGAACCATTAAGTGCTGAACCATTGAGACATCTGAACCATTAAGAGGCTGAAACAAATAGCCCCTAACCAACACCATGAAACTAAGAGTATCAATGTATTATATAATTATCATATAATAATGTTCTTTCTGGTGCACGAAGGGGCTTTTTCGCCATTGGCTTAGCTTGGAAATTGGTTGTGTTTCATTCTTTGCCTTGGCAGCGTGGGTTTGGTATCACCTTGATTAAAAATTCTTCATTTCTTAAAAGTAATAGTCCTTACCCTTGTCCAAGTAGGGGTGGGTTCGGTTTTGACGGTTCGGTTTTTTACCCAAAACCAAAGACAAAACGGAAGGTAAATTGGCGGTTCGGTTCGATTCGGTTTTGCATAAAAAATATGTAAACCGTTGGTTATTCGGTTCGGTTTTATGCGGTTTTTATTTTGGTTTTTTTCGGTTTTTTCGGTTTATAAAAGTAAATACTTATAAGCATTAAAAATTGTCTAAATACTAACTCGACGAAACAATAACAATACGTAAGTTTGGGTTTGGTTTTTTTGCTTGATTTTTACACACAAAAAAATGCTGAACGGAAGGTTAGTGTTCTATTCGGTTCAATTTTACATAGAAAATATGTGTCAAGTGCCTAAAAAACATCTAGGAGATTCCAAATAGTCCTAAAGATATCGTATGTAAAATCAACTATAGAGAATTTATGTTTTTTTATATAATACTTTTATTTACATTATAAAATCAAAGTTTTTTTATGTAAATATGTTAACTACTCATATTAATTTTTAATGTTATATAATTCTATATTAGGATTTGTTATTGGTATTTATATCTTAGACTTTTTAAAGTTTATAACATGGTTAAAATGTTTAATTAATAGTTAATTAAAAAACTTTAATCAACTAGTAATATATTTGCATGTTTGTTTATATGATTTTTATACATATCACATATACTCATATACATAAAAAAGAAGCATATAAATAAGTTCGGTTTATTCGGTTTGATTCGGTTTTTCAAAGTAAAAACCAAAACGAAACCAAACAATAGCGGTTCGGTTCGGTTTTTTTACATTCGGTTTCGGTTTTTTCAGTTCGGTTTTTTTTCTAGCTCGTTTCGATCGATTTCGGTTCGGTTTTCGATTTTCGGTTTTTCCGACCCAACCCTATGTCCAAGTCTTCTTTTTTTGAAAAGCTGCACGGAGTTTTTTTTTACTTTTTTTCTAACGAAATTAACTATTTGTTCTCATGGAAAGTGTTAGTTTGAGTTTGCTAACTTTCTTGTTTTGATGTTAACAAACAATATATGAGCTAATGTTTGTTTGAATGCTTCAGATACAACAAGAATTCGTTAAGAAACGCTTCTCAAGAGCGAAGTTGAAACACAAAACTAGCGGAAAACATAGGTAAAAATAAATGTAAAGATATGATTTTATATACTTATATTCACAAGCTCAAATACACTCACAAAATATGTTAAAGACCTTCTTATAACAATTTTCAAACTTTCAAAAGATTTTAAACTCAAACGAAAAGGATTAAGCCAAAAATGAATATACCAGCTCAGTGGAGCGGTACCAAATCCGATACCCTCATAACGTACCTCAGTAACGGAACAAGCACAGGAAGAGACGGGATACGCCAGAGAATTTTGAACTGAACTGGTACCCAGCTACTGACTACCTAGTAGTGCAATAACCCCTACCGTAAGTATGGTACCCTCATACTGTTCGTCTGATACCCAGGTACTGTTACCATTGGAAGATTTTTCAAAAGCATGAATTCATATCTAATCACATTTAATTAGCCAAAATCTCTCTTAATTGATCCCCAGTGGCTATAAACGAACATTTAACATTTTACACTATAAATATGGCTTAAATTCTTCATTTTTTAACAAGAATCCAAGCTCTAATCTTCTTTTCTCATATTTTAAAGTGTGTTCTTGTTCTTAATTCTTTATTTTTGGCTAAAGGAGCATTATTTTTATTCTGATTTTTACACACACATACACACTTTGACCTTGTGATTATACGATTATGCTCTCATATCCATTAGGTTGATCTTGTATCATTTAGAAAGTATAATCTTTATTCATCACCGGCCAAGGATTGATCTTTTTCTTTATTATAGGCCAAAAAGTGCTGAACATTTTCTATGTTTTTAGACACATATTTCATTCTTGTAACAGTCAAAGAAAGCTGCATAAGTTCTTGTGTGGATGGTTAAGGATTGCCAAGAAATCCTTGAGTAATGATTCAAGGATAGCTTTTCAATTTCTTAAGGGAAAAGGTAGAAGATAGCTTTCAAATTTTCGTTGTAAGCGGTTCGAGATACGCATTGTAAAATCTCATGTTGAATCTTATTGGCAAAGGTTGTTTGCAAAAAGTCAAATGTAGTGTTTTGAGGGAGTTCAAGAGGACAGGGTTTAGGCTTAAGGTACTAGAGTAGGGAGTTCTCGAACTAGTATAAAATTTGTTGGTCATTTACTTTACGCTTTTAAATTTCTACGATTTATTCATTGCTTCCGCACTTTCTAATCACCAACTTTATTAATCTCCGAAAAGTTTTTGAACGCCTTATTCACTCCCCCCCTCTAAGGCGTGGGCACATCAACTAACATATGCTATCAGAGTCAAGGTCACGAGTTCGATTCCCAATGGGAGCAATTGCTAAGAAGGATATTGTTGGCCATGTGTGCATCAATTCTCCCGTGGCAGTGGCTATGAAGGTCAAGTCACAATCGAATATCGTGGGCGCTGGAGTGTGTTGAATTAACTATAAGGCTAGGGTATACGCTTCTTATAACGCCGATTGGTTTTAGAAGAATTGGTAGTTCCTGAGATCTTACAAAAAAGTGTTCAAGTTTGTATAGGGATAGACAAAAAAAGATACTCCCTCCATTGCTAAAAAAAATTTCTCTACAAAAATAATATAGAAATTTTCGGTGGAGTTGGTTCCTTGACGTTATATCCAAGCTTTGATGACCAAGTGATGACGAATTCAAAAATCGTCGGTACTCAGTTTTAAAAAGAAATACTCCATCGGTCCATCTTTGTTCTTCCAAATTTGACTTACACGGTCTCAAGTAATGCAACACCTTAACAATTAATATTTTTATTTATATATAGATGCTTATTCTAGAAAACAAAAAATTAAAATTGTTTAATTTGAGATAGATGGAGTATATGTCACTTTTTAATTTTTAATTTTTATTTGAAACACAAACAATATTAAATTTTTAAAAACATTATTAAAAAATAAAATATAAATTAAAAAACCTTCCTAAAAAAGGAAACAAAGATATGAAAAAGAATTTAAAAAGGATAAAAACAAAAAAAGCGAAAAGTACTGAATGAGCTGCATTGCCGCTTTGTAAAATAGACACCAATGACGCCTGCCCCTCTTCGTTGGAAGAAGACCGGAAAATGATCTTAAAATGATCAGAGTGAGTGAGAGTTAAAGGTTTTAATACCATATGAGATTTTAGAAATAAATTTTGAAAATAGAGGTGATTTTAATGCTCATTTTCCAAACTATAGAGGGTACGAGAGCATTTTGGCCTTACTTTATAATAAGGTAGAATATGATGTATATGATAAATAAGTGATAATTTGAAAAATAATATTAAGATAACACATTTTTGGAGCGCCCCATTTTTCATCTTTGAAAAGTTTTGCTCTCTCTGTCCACAAATAAACTTCCTATTGCGGGTTACGATGTTAGACTGAAGTTATTTTCAAATCAATTTATAAGTAAAATAGTGTAAAATTTTAAAATAAAAATTACATATTAAAAATTATATCAAAAGATCTACAAAACTAGTGGTGACATGTCTATATTGTTTTATCAAATGATAGACGAAAATAAGCCAACAAAGTAAATAAATTGTGACCTTGTGAATAGTGAACGTGAAATTTATTTGTGGGCGGATAGAATACAAGAAGGAAGTATTAATCTTTTAAAACATGTATTCATTTAAATTATGTTTAATTTTTAATGAAAGAGTATAAAAGGCAAAACATGAAGGATCTTCTAAAGAAAATACTTTTTCCCTAATTTACACATGAAGAATATACTTCCGTAATTTACACTAAAAAATTTAAAAAATTAAGCGTGCGCAAGTCAAATTTAGAAAAATGAAGAGATAGGTAGGGAGTAATAATTAAATTTCAGGCGCAAAAGTGGAACGAGTGGGCAAACGAGAGATATATATGAAGGACTATATATAAAAGCTCTCTTAAAAAAGTATCCCACCCCAGAACTTGAAGAGAAAATAAACCGCTATATAAGTCTTTGAGTTGAACTAATTAATCGAATAGATTCAATCTTTTAATGCGGTTTAACCCAAGTGTCTTATTGCCCAATCCAGTTATCCATACCCTATCCTAAATTTTATCATGGTATCAGAGTTAGTTTTAGCCCACCTCGTTTGTCAAGGTGTCCGTCTAGACGTTCATTCCTAGAGGCCCGTTAGTCTTTAGTCCAGTTGTCCGTATGGAGGTTGTACCCAACGGCCTGTGGCCTGTTTAACACGATTGCTCGTCTGGAAGTCCATACCCAGCGACTCGTGGTGCTTTAGGTGTTGGCGCTCATAAAAAAAAGTCAAGGGAATGGGAGTTCATTTGCAAGTGGTCAACCGGCTAGATTCAAAATGGCCCGGTTGTCCACTTGAGGGAGAGTGTTAAAAAAGTATCCCACATCGGAACTTGAAGAGAAAATAAACCGGTATATAAGTCTTTGAGTTGAACTAACTAATCGATTGGATTCAATCTTTTAATGTGATTCAACCCAAGTGTCTTATTACACAATAAAGTTGTCCATATCCATCCCGAATTCAAAATCACGTATTACCTAGCTCAGAGTTGGCTACACGAATATGAAGATCGGAACGGGAACCGGTAGGGAGTCTCTGAATGTCGATCAGCGTCCCGCTCCAGAACATACACCCACTTCGCTGGTTGTAGGCATAGGCAACGCAAGAGCAGTTCCGGACGCACCGGCCTTGGCACTCATTCTCTGGGCCGAACCACCAGTCACTGTACCCGGTGGCCTTCATCTGGCTGAGAACCAAGAACCCATCATCATCTTCTAATTGGCGCCCCATGTTGTGGGTCCAGCCCATTTTGTTTGGGTTCCATTTTTCTTTGGTGGAGGGCCCAATTATGTTTTTTCCTTGGCTGACTAACATAAGGAAGGAAGTAAAAGGGCTGGGCAGTGTGAGGACTTACGACAGAGCAGAGAGAAAAAAAAAATCAGAATTGAGAGAGGAAAGGTGCTGGTGCAGAATGTACAGACCAGCCGCACAAATTCGATCATAGCCGGAGATCCAACCGTTGGATTGAGCTGAAATTTTCAGAGGTTGTTCCCAACACTTAGGGCTTCAATCTGCTCAATTTTCACATCAATCGGAGCTACGGATCTTCTGTAATCGCAGCTGGTGCGACGCTGCGTTTTTGGGTGATAATCCTGATTTTCCTTCTCTATTGTTGATGGCTCTTATGTATGTTGTTGTTGGTGGGCTGTGACATCCTTGTAGACTGAGTTTGGGTGTTTTTACCCTCAACTTGCATAATAAGAGAAGAAGAGGGCGGACTCCCTATAAGTCCCGTGGTTTTTATCCTTCACATCGAAGGGGTTTTCCACGTATAAAAATCGTGTGTCGTTTGCATCTTTATTCTTCATATTTGGTTGTGGTTTATTTGATGTGTTGCTGATTTTGTGTGCTTGACTTTCATTCGCATGATTTTGGGACTAGCGGCTTGTTTGGACCTTGAGCTTGAGCAGCTTGATGTAAAAACTGCATTTTTACATGGTGATTTGGATGATGAAATTTACATGGAGCATCCGGAAGGATTTGAAGTTAAAGGAAAAGAGAATTTTGTTTGCAAGTTGAAAAAAAGTCTTTATGGGCTTAAGCAAGCACCGAGGCAATGGTACCGTAAGTTTGATTCCTTCATGAGTAGCAATGGGTACAGGCGTACTACTGCAGATCCTTGTGTGTATTTTAGAAAGTTCTCTGATGATAACTTCATTATCCTTTGTTTGTATGTTGATGATATGTTGATAGTGGGACAAGATGTTGAGATGATTCGCAGGTTGAAAGAGGATATGTCAAAGTCCTTTGAAATGAAAGATTTGGGTAATGCGAAGCAAATTCTTGGCATGGAAATTGTTCGTGATAGAAAAGCTGGTAAGCTTCGGCTCTCACAAGAGAAGTATATTGAACGGGTGCTTGAAAGGTTCAATATGAAGAATGCCAAGCCGGTTATTACACCACTTGCCGGTCATTTCAAGTTGAGCAAGCGTTCTTGTCCTAGTTCTGATAAAGAGAAGGAAAGCATGTCTCATATTCCTTACTCTTCTGCTGTTGGTTCATTGATGTACGCTATGGTGTGTACAAGGCCGGATATAGCACATGCTGTTGGATTGGTTAGCAGATTCTTGGCTAATCCAGGCAAGGTTCACTGGGAAGCTGTAAAGTGGATCTTGAGATATTTGCGGGGCACCTCAAAAC